AGCCAGGGCTGTACCGAGGCCTCCTGAAGGCCAAGGAAACAGCTTTCCCTGGAGGCGGACCATCAGTGCATGGGGGCTGGCTGGTCAGGGGGGTTTGCTCCTGGTCTCAGGCAGCCTGACTTCCCTGCCACACTGGCCCTCCACAGGAGACCCATCTGGGGGCCAGACCATCAGTGCATGGGGGCTGGCTGGTCAGGAGGGTTTGCTCCTGGTCTCAGGGAGCCCAACTTCCCTGCCACACTGGCTCTCCACAGGAGACCCATGTGGGGGCCAGGGCTTCTGTGGTTGTGTTGTATAGTCCTGTGTCATGGCTACAGAAGGTCAGTGTCTGGAATGAAGTGTAATAATGAAAACAAAGTAGCAGTAATTCCGACCTCTAAACACACAGCCTCTGCCACTGGGAAGGAAATGCTCGTGGTCCGTGGCACTTGGGCATGAGTGGAAGCAGCTCAGAGTGTCACTGGGCACAGGCCTGGTGAGCAGTGCTTGTCCTGGGCTCGTTTTAGGATGAGCAGTGCATTTCTTCCTCTGGAAGCTCTGTTCGCTGTCATGGAGCTGGAACTAGTCTTGCCTTCCTTTTTGACTCTGGGTGGAGAGAAATTGTTGAAATGCAAAGACCATTTTTTTAAAGGAGTTTTGTTAATAATTATTTTCCTTTTATTGTCTCCCAGATAGTGTTGCTGAAAAGGAGCAAGATACACTTGCTCTTGGTGTTTATAAAGAGCACGTGACACACAGATGGTAATAAAAGAGGGGGCACCAGTAGGGCACGAGCGGTTTGGTGTGGAAGGGGAGTGAAGGTCTGCTTGATCTAGAAACTGGATCATCCATCAAGTAGGAGCCTAATTTTACATCATGTACTATTTTCTGAATTTAAAATTAAAATAGGGACAGGGGTGCGGGCAGCAGGTGGCGTGGTGGTTGAGAAACTGGCCCACAAGGCCTACTCTGCGGTTTGAGTCTCAGCCTCGATGACTTGAAAATCTCGCTGGGTGCGTGTGCAGGTGTGCCCAAAATTCTGAGAGGGAAATGGAAGAGAAGGGATTGCAGCATGGCCATCCCCCTGGGGGGTGATTTCTCACTTTCTTTCTCTCTCTGTGTCTCTCTTCAGCAAGTGTATGTGCCCTATAGTAAAAAAAAAGGGGGGGGGGAGGTCAGGTGGTGGTGGCCCAGTGGTAATGCAACTCACATGGGGAAGGTCCTGGGTTCACATCCTAGGACCTCCCTGGGCATGCCAGGTATGTGTACACGTACTTGTGATCTGGGCTGACTGACACTGGGTGGGTTATGGTGTGAAGACCCTATCTATCTCTTACATGGAATAAATAAATGAATAAACTTTAAAGAAAAAGAATGAGTAAAAACCAGAATAATTTACAATCTTCTGCCAAATGTTACTGAGCTCCTGACATGTATGACAACAGTTCATGTAGCTGCATGTGTGGTAGGGGCCATTCGGGTTTAAAAAGAGAGGTGTTGGCCGTGTTCAGAGCAATTACAACCAGTTAAAAATAGCAAACAGCCTTGTGGCTGGTGCACAGTGATCCGAGCAGAAGTTGGCATGGGCATTTCTGTCACAGGACAGGATCTGCAGGTTGCTAAGTGGATTGCTCTAGTGGCACTCCACGTACTGCAACGGCAGAGATCAGTCTCAGTCACAAGTGAGTGAGATCCAGATGTGTGAGAATCGGGGTGGTCCTGAGAGACTCCCCTGCATAGGCCCACTGCCACAATCCGCAGCTGGAGGGGAAGGCTGATGCTTGGCACAGAGATTTCTCAGTCCTGAGTCAGAGAAACAGTGAGAGAAGTGATTTCTGCCTCCAAGACTGAAGACAACCTTGCAACCATGTTCTCTATTTTCACACAGGCAAAAGACCAAATCTTCTATTTGGAATTTAATTTATGCAACAGGATGGAAATTGTATATAACTTTGGATTGCTTTAGTCCTTAGCCTATATACTTCAAATACAGAAATCAGAATTGGTGACTTTTGTTATTTAAGAAAAAATAAACTATGGTTCAAGATTCAGGTGTTGTTTTCTTCATATTTCCTCAATTTCAAATTCCAACCTTTAATCCAGAAACACAAGGAAAGTTAGTGAGGCACAACCAAGAATAGCGGCTGTCTTTTTTTTTTTTTCTATTTTTTTTTTAAGAGAGATTTTTGCTGTAGGGTGCTTGCGCTTGGCTCAGAGTCAGAGAGAGACAGAAAGACAAAAAGGTGAGAAATCACTCTCTATGGGGGGTGGTCACACCGCAATCTCTTCTCCATTCTCCTCTCAGGATTTTGGGCATGCATGCACATGTACTTGGTGTGAGTTTAAGCGGCCGGATCTGGGACTTGAACTGTGGACAGCTATGTGGGAGTCCAGCGACATAACCATTACACCATGTGCTGGTCCCGCAGCTGCCGTTTAATGAGCAGTCACCGTGGATGGGGCACTCGGCTAAGGGCTGGGCCTGCGTGTGTGGGTCATTGTGGCCTCACAGCCACCCTCGTGGTTACCACTGAGAAGACTGAAGTGGGAAGAGGAGTAGGCTCTGGGGACAAGCCCTGACTCCAGAAACCTGGAGGCGGCTACCCTGTGTGAGTAGAAGTAGTAAGAATAGACTTAGCAAAAGCATATACATTTTGCTCCTTGCTGGCTTATTTATAAAAAGGAAAGGGAAGAATTTAAACAAAAGAAGGTCATGTCCTTTTTGCTTTTTTAAAAAGTAGAGGTTTTTTTTTTTGGGGGGGGGTCTTTTTTTTTTTTTTGAGACGTTTTTGCTATTGGGCGTGTGCACTTGCCAGAGAGACAGAGAGATAGAGAGACAGAAAGCGAAGAAATCACCCCCCAGGGGGGATGGCCATGCCTCAATCCCTTCTCCTCCATTCTCCTCTCGGGATCTTGGACACGCACGCACACATGCCTGGCGTGAGTTTAAGCCACTGGGTCCAGGACTCAAACCACGGTCGGCTACATGGAAGCTCAGCAACATAGCCATTACGCTAACTGCTGGTCGCATTTTTTGGGGGGAACAGTTTTAGATTTACAGAAAATTAAGAAAACAGTTTTCTCTTTTTATGTTTTTGTGGTTCTCTTTTGCTATGATGTTAAAGATACTAAATTCACAGGGTTTTCACATAGACGCTTTTTGGAAGTGAAAGTTTTTAAGGTAAAGCTTTATTATTTTTATGATCCTCAGTTTCATAACCAAGCAGTGACATTTTGTTGATAAGTGGCATCATAATTTGGAGGAGAGAATGTAATTTTTAGCTTTTTGTCCTATTGATTTCTCCAGTCAGGTCTTCCATTTCTGCCCTCATTCTAATGTCTGGTGAGCAGAGCCAGGAATGACCAAGAGTGGGAACAACTTGGGATTTGGAGGCATTAGCTTTGGGTTTGAACACCAGTTCTGCTGCTTAACTAGCTGGGCAAGATACCTTCTTTCTGAGTCTCAGTTTTCTCTTTCGTGAAATGGGAATAGTGGGAACCAAATTAGAAAAAGTACCCTTTGGGGCCGGCCCTATAGCACGACAGGTAAGCCCTAAGCATAGAGAGCCAGGTCCTGACAGGCGACCGAGGTTTGAATCTCAGCCCTACCACTCTGAAAAATGTGTGTGTGTGTGTGTGTGTGTGTGTGCGTGCGTGCGCATCCCCCAAATCCTGACAGGATGGAGAAATGGAGGTAAAGGGTTGCTGTGTGACCATGCTCCACTGGGAGGTGCTTGCCCTCTCTCTCCTCTCTTTCTCTTCCTCTTGCAAGTCCACATGCCTTTTGGCAATTAAAAAGAAAAGAAATGTTAATACTTTTAAAAAAAATTTTTTTTCTTTCTTTTGCTATAGGGCACATATGCTCACCAGAGAGAGAGAGAGAGAGAAGGAAAGTGAGAAATGATCCCCCAGCGGGGATGACCACACAACAATCCCTTTTTGTCCAGGGTCCTCTCTGCATTTGGGGCGTGTACCTATACACACCCAGTGTGATTTTTAAGGTTGCGTACCTGAGACTTGAACTGTGCAGTCAGTCATAGGGGATCCAGTGTCTTAACCTCCATGCCACCTGCTGGCCGCAATACTTTAGTTCTTTTCTTTTCTTTCTTTCTTTCTTTTTTTTTTTTTGATTAAGAATATCAATATTTATTTTTCTTAAGGTAAATTTTCTGTATCTTCAACATTTTCTGCTCAAAATTAAAAAGACAAAGCAATCTCAAAGTTTAGAACTAGATCACCTCGCCCTGTCTCTTCTTATCTCCCCCCAGTTCAAAATGTTTGCATCTTTTAATGGCCTGCATCCTCCTGGATCTGCAGTTCAGTTCAACACACTCAGGCCTTAGGACAATCTTCTTTGTGGTTTTAACCTTCTTCCAGAAAATTGGCTTTGTCTGCCCACCATAGCCACTCTGCTTTGGTTGTATGTAGCGCCTCCTTCCCTGGGCATACAGGGAATCCTTGCCCTTCTTATACTGGGTCACTTTGTGAGGCTGACGCTTGCCACGTTTCTTACAGAAAGTCCTTCGAGTTTTAGGTACATTGACCATCGTGGCAGTACAGCTGTCTTCACGTTGACAATGAGAAATCAGCATCCACAATCCTTGTCTGGTGCCGCTCAAGCCTAACAGGAAAGGCCAAAACTGTATTCTTACGATGAATACTTCCTACAAAGATGTTTATCTAGGCTAACATTTCTGTTTTATAAACCAGAGTTGATGTTTTCAAATATCAAAAGCGTTAACTAGTGAAGTTCAGTAAAATACTGGGGTAGATATTGGTGTGGATGGAATCTAGCAGACCTGAATTGGAATCTTGGCCTGCCCACTTAGTAACTGTGAACTTTCAGCTTTGCCTTTTCCCTGCTTTGGTGCTCAGGTTCCTTAGGTCCGACAGCAGAGACATAGCCTGATTAACAGAGGTGTTGGTCTGAGGATTAAATCAGATATTTGTTAAGTGTTTAAAACAGTACACCCACAGACTAGGCCCCCCGCATTATCATTTTTCTGTAGCCTTAAACCTTTCTGTGTTTCTTCTTGGAATTCCCTTCACCTCCTCTGTCTTCTAGGTACTTCTTTTTAAATTCTTTTAACAGGGGCCAGTTCCTTATGCTCAGAGACCTGCAGTTTTGGAAAAGGAAGGTAAGTTTGATAAATAGAATGGGCGATTAAGCGAAGCAACATGGTTTGAGTTGCAAAGTGTGGCTGTGGTTTTGGACAATGGTTACTTTCTGTTTAACTTCTGGCTTGAAGTTCACTACCAAAGAGGACTCCAAACCTGATTTGTTGATGATCATTTGATTCCTAGAGAGTATAATTAAAAAAAAAAAATCTAAAAAGCTGCTTTTTCCCCCTTTTTTATTTGCAGAATGCTTTATAAATCAGAGCCTAGGGACCTCTTTGAAACGCTCCCTCCCTGCTGCCTTCTCCATTCTTTGTGAGGTAATTCCAGCCCATCCCAGAGGTCTCAGGATAAGCACCACTTCCTCAGGAAGGGCGATCTGAGTCTCCGGACATGGGAAACTTGCCTTGATCCCTTGACTTCTTTTGTAACACATGTAGCCTTACTGTCACTTCTTCTTCTTCTTTTTTTTGAGACAGAGAATTTTGCTATGGTTGCATGCTCTGCCTTGATCCCTTGACTTCTTTTGTAACACATGTAGCCTTACTGTCACTTCTTCTTCTTCTTTTTTTTTGAGACAGAGAATTTTGCTATGGGTGCATGCTCTCATTGGAGAGACAGAGAGACAGAAAGCGAGAAATCACCCTCCAGGGGGATGACCACACTGCAATTCCATCTTCTCCATTCTGGGCATGCACGCACGTACACCCAGCATGTTTCAAGCCACCAGGTCCAGCGATGAACCACGGTTGGCCATGTGGGAGTCCAGCGATGTAACCATCACACCACCTGCTGGTCCCTACAGTCACTTCTTAAATGCACGCTTCCATAGCAAACTGTCAAGTCCACAATGTGGACTATTTTAAGTGACTCCAAATCTCAACAATTTGCCTCTATGTTGCTTGGGTAAAATATCCTTGTGATAAAAAAGAACTGCACAAAGAACCCTAAGTATTTACAGTAGTCATGCTGTTGGTGGTACAGTTGGAATTGTTAGTACTAAACTGTGTATTGTTACTATGAAATTGTGTATATTTGGAGGAATTAAGCACTTAATAATGAAAGATTATTGGAATTCTCTCATTTCTGGAGTTGGTGAAAACTAGGACTATCTGTGTAGGAGAATGGAGCAAAAAACCTCATAATTGAAATGGGAAATATCAATAGAAAATAATTAATTTTATTAAAAAAAAATGCCAGTTCTTTGCACCAAAAAGTCATAGAAACAATTTCCAGCACAACAATGAGCACCCCTAGAGTGCAGATTATGCTCCTGAAATACTATCTCTCACCAAAAGGAAGGAGGGCTTTTTAGAGAAATGGCTGATTCAAAGTTACAGAGGATGCACGAGTGGAGCTTACTGGGAAGTGGCCAGGAAGAGACTGAAATCTACCAGAATTCAATCAAAAAGATTTAGGAGCTTGAAGGGACTCCTGACTAAAGATGGGCCAATTTAAGCATCTACAAAGTTAATGACTGCAGTTGATTAAAATCCATCAGATATGAGATTAAAAATCATAAGTTCATAATTACATTTAAAAAGAAAGAGAAAGAAATACAGAAAGATGGGGAAGAAGAAAGGAGAGAGTGGCAGAAAGAAAGGGAGGGAGAAAGCAAGCAATCGGGTGCCATGGAAAGATGACAGTGAACGAAGTCATTATTCTGAAAACTGAAAATAAAAGGAAAGAATCTGTATTTACCCTGCCTTTTCTGCATGAATTAGAAAATTGGGCATAAAAGATCAAGGAAATGTATGTAAAAAAAAAAAACCCCTATATTCTAGCTATTAAATAAAGATAGAGTGAGTCTATCACCATTTATTTTGCAATCTCTAATAAATAAATGGATTTGTGCCTTAATTGAGCTACTAACATCACAGAAGAGAGACATTGATATTATTGATCTCCTGCTGGAAGAACACACCTTGCAAAAAAAAAGAAAAAATCAAGGCAGGAGATAAAAAGCAAACCCCTGTTTAGGTCTTACCTCCAATGAGAATCCTTTTCTTAGCACTCCAGATGTAACTAAACACCACCTCCTCTGGTACATCTTATCTGACATTCAGCTGTTTTAGAGGTTCATTCATTCGATTATTGTGTGGTTTCCTTGTTTCTATTATTGTCTTCCTTTATTTACTATCCACCCAGCAGTCAAGTGATCATTTTCTTTCTGTTTCTCTTTTTTTTCTTTTTCTTTCTTTCTCTTTCTTTTCTTTCTGTTTCTTTGTTCTTTCTTCCTTTCTTCCTTCTCCTTCCTTTCTTTCTCTTTCTTTTCTTTCTTTTTTTCTTCTTTCTTTCTCTGTTTCTTTCTTTCATTTTTGACATAAGGTGTGTGTGCTTGCCAGTGAGAGCAAGACAGAGAGAGGGAAAGTGAGAAATCTTCTCCCAGCAGGTATAGCCATGCTGTAATCTCTTCTCCTCCACTCTCTTCTCAGGATTTTAGGCACTCACACATGCATGCTCCTGGAGTGATTTTCAGGCTGTCCGGTCTGGGACTTGAACTGCAATCAGCTATATGGAAGTCCAGCACCTTAACCACATGCCACTTGTTGACCCCAGTGATCATTTTCAAATGTAAGTCAGAGCTTGTTGCTCCTCGGCTCTGAAACTGCCAATGACATCCCCATTAGTTATTATTATTTTTTTTTGGAGAGGTTTTTTTCGCTATAGGGCGTGTGTGCTCGCCAGACAGGCAGAGAGAGACATGGAGACAGAAAGCGAGAAATCACCCCCCAGGGGGGATGGTCACGCCGCAATCCCTTCTCCTCCATTCTCCTCTCGGGATCTTGGGCACACACGCACACGCGCTCGGCGTGAGTTTTAAGCCACCGGGTCCAGGACACGAACCCCGGTCGACTACGTGGGAGTCCAGCGACATAACCATTACGCTAACTGCTGGTTCCCCATCCCATTAATTCTTGAATCAAAGTTCTTTAGTATTGCCAACATGATCCTACAGAATCTGGTCCAAATTCATCACCTTCCACTCTCTCCCTAGCTCTCTGCTCAGCCACATGATCTTTTTGCCATCCTATCAATGCATGGACACACTCCCACTTTAACACGTGGGCATGGAACACTCTTCACCCTGATATTTGCATGACTCACTCCTTCAAGATCTCTATTCAAAGATGCCCTGACCAGAGGCTTCCATTGACTAGCCTACGTCAACACCAAGCACACACGCTCTGTTGTTCGCCTTAACTCACTTTATTATATATATATATATTTTTTTTAAAAAATTTATTTATTTATTTATTCATTCATTCATTCATCCCTTCATTTTAATTTGACCAGATAGAGACACACACAGAGAGAGAGGAAAGTGAGAAAGCAAGCCACTGGGTTCAGGACTTGAACCGTGGTCGGCCATGTGGGAGTGTCCAGTGCCTTAACCACCATGCCACCTGCTAGTCCCAACTTTATTATATTTTTGTGGCACTTATTCTCATAATTGTATCTTGTATTCAGTTTTATTTTTAATCTCTCTTCTGTTCGATTATAAACTCCAGGAGCAGGAATACCGTTTATGATGTTTATTTCTGTCTCTCCAGTGCCTAGAACAGTGCCCGTTACATTGTGGTGCTCAATAAATACTTGCAGAGTGAGTGAATGAGTGCATTCAATAGTTGCTCCATCACAGGGTATTTTACTGAACATCGATCTCGCACAACAGCTCATGGAGGGCGAGGAGCACGTTTTACTTAGCTTTTCATTACAGCATCTTGCATGATGCCTGGCACTCATTAGGTCCTCAATAAGTGCTTTTTTGTAGTATTAACTTATCTTTAGTGATTTTTATACCTCTAGCTATAAGACTATTTCTAAAATATTAGATGATCTATATTGTGTGTGTGTGTTACAAGGTGTCATCGGATTCCTAAATTGAATTACTTTCAAGAATTACTTTATTTAACTTTATTTATTTATTTTTAATTTGACCAGAGGGGGACGGAGTGAGAGAGAGAAAAGCCAGCTGCCAGGTCTGGGACTCGAGCTGCAGTTGGCCATGTGGGAGTCCAGTGCCCTTAACCACCACACCATCTGCTGGCCCCACCTAAATTGTGTTTCTGTAAGAAAAAAGTATTGGGATCAAAAGTCCCATAAGAAATAAAATCATTCCTTTATAGAGCGACTTCTAAAGACTAATGAAGACACAGAAATTAAGCATGCCAATACTTGGTCAGACATTCAGTAGAAGACAATGAGAATCTTGGGATAAACCACAATCACACCTATGGATCTTGATATGAAATAGTGTCTCTGAGAATGAATGTGTCCAGAGGAGATGCGTGGGGACAAAAAAAAGATCTCCTGCAGTCACACCCTCTCAGAGCCACTAGGTGGTGCCCTTAAAGACTATGGTTTTCATTTATGGATGCGGAGAAATATCTTACTAAACTTTTTTCTTCTATTTTTTTCCTTAAGT